TTCATTCAAAAGTTTTTGGCAACCACTGATGCTGCTTCAGGGTACGTGGAGATGCTACCGTTTCCTGTTTTTGCTCTGCAAATTTCAAGCCTGTCGATGAGCCACGGGCGCCGATTATAGATTGAGTGTACTGATGGGCTACCACATCCGATGTGGGATCCTCCCGGCATAAAAAAAATAAAGCGAGTTTCGTCTTGGTCGAGAACTCCTACCTAGAATAACATACCTTCTATATCCGCGGAGACGGCGAAGATAACACTCACGATTTAACTGCCGCGAACGTGGATCTTGTGGCTCAACGCTAGCAATATAACCTCTTTGGGCGTACTCCTTTATTGTATCTGCGTATCTTTTGCGCAGCTCTGAGTCTTTTCTTAATTTTCGCTCCAAAACTTTAAAATAAGCAAGTGATGAGGAATAATTTTTGAAGAGACTGACATTTTTACCAGCCCAAAGCATAGGCACTATGTATCTTTCGCCATCGCCGAATGTTCTTGAATTGAGGATGGATAAAGCACGTTTTTCCGGGGAAGAGCAGGCAACGACCTATTTAAAGGCTCTATAACATTCCAATTCATACCAAGACTTAATCTGATCAATTAAAAAAAGAATTTTCAACAAACCACCTAACCCCGCGGACGACGGTAATGGACTACTACTGTGCCAACCTATGGGTAGGCTCACAAAACATGATGTGTTAGAGTCTTCTCCTCCCTAAGGAACTCAATCGGACGAACGTCGTGCTAGTAATTTGGTCGAAAGATAACGTCTACAGCTTTATAGTTATACTGTACGGGCTTCATAGGAGCAAATAGAGGATATTTTTCCTGCAACTCAGGTATTTTGATACCAGGACTTGATCTGATCAATTAAAAAAGTTCGACTCGCTGAGTTCTGATCACGTTTACCGCATTGAAACCGCAGATGGATAAGAGAACTGGCTCTCCAACCAACTTTAGAAGAGAAACGCGGATACCCAAGAATGTGTTGATGCTCCGTCGCAAAGAACCAATGTCGAGACGTTGGTGCTATCGGAAGGTACAACAACTGTTGCAATTGGCAACAGTCCTTCTAGTAACCCTTTTTGATAACCCCCCTCTATTTACAGCGGCATGAGTGGAAACATCTTTCGATTTAGATTCATAAGTTTTACTTGACGTTTTTCCGCGTGCTCTCAACACTGCGTGCTCTCACATTCCTGTTTTAATACAATTACGGAAGATATGGTTCCGAAAGAGGCATGCGAAGCAAAGTTCTTGCTCAGTTAAAACTTTTGCTCGCTGAGTGGCATTTTTTTCCTTGAACGCAGCGCAAGACACAGGGGCATTTTTTTCACACAGCACTCCCTTATGTGGTGTCAAAATATGCTCGCTCCAATCTTAAAAAACCTTAAAATCGTGCAATGAATACTTGAAATATAAAGAGTAATGCTTCGGGAATAACCCTCAAAACGACAATTTTCCTCTTTTCATAATGATATTAACATCAACAAATTGTAGCTGCAAACTCAAAGCAAGCGCTCAAAACACTGGTATTCGCCCTTACAAATTGTTCTACTTTGGACGTCAGGTTTAATCAAGTCTGAACCGTGTTAGAGAGAAAAATGGTTAATAACGGTCAAATGGGACTAAAGCCCCTCGGTTTTTCATGTATGAAGGTCGGGTATGGGACGGATCCAAACCGGATCGACCAGTGCGAAAATCTACACTCTTGGCAGCACGGCCATTAGTTCTTGCATTTTGACTAGTTTAGTTCAAAGATTTTGCTGGTTATTTTTACTCATAATTTTTTTTCACACTTGAGTGTCAACAGACCCTGATCACTAACTGAAATCGTTATAATTGAAAAAAAGATGTAGAAAAAAAACTAGGGTTTTGGCCTTTTAATCCCTGATATTAAATTCAACCCTGATTACTCTTCAAAAAACAAGCTCAATCAAATGCTCCCTATTAAAGTCCAAAATGCTGCTTTTTCAATAAACCCTTCTCAAGTAATAGTGGGTAGGGCGAAACTTATGAAAACTTTTGATGGATCCTGTTAACTATCCCCCACATTTCGATTTTCAGAAATTCAACTTTGGCGGCCACATTTTCAATAGCCTAAAACAGTTTTCAGAAAATATTATATAAAGTTTTTTACGAGGGTATTATATAAACAGTGAGTAACACAAATACGAACGAGCGAAATTAAAAACCCACTTAACTTATTGTTGAAATTTTTAGAATGAATATATTTTATACAGAAAAGATCCAAAAAAGATACTGGTTCTGGGGAAAATTAGGGTTGTATTTGGTATGAGGTACACTTTTTGTCATAAATATCAAAGCAACAGTTCGGTTACTATTATTTAATTTAAACAGCCTATTAGTTTTTATTTGTAGCGGAGATTCAAGTTTTTTATTTGAAAAAAAGTATAATACAGAAAAAAAACGGAATCTGCAAGTAATCTCAGCTAATAGGCCCTTTATCTTAACTGAAATGCTGTTCTGATGTTGATTAAAAAAACTCTCAGCTATTGGGATCCGTACGTTATTACTGTCAAATGCTAAGTCGTATCTTGAAAGCTATGTTCAATCACTCCCAGGGGCGGATTTAGGGGGGAGGGCGGGGGGACGCTTCCTTTTCAGGGATTCGACCCCCTGACGACCCAAAGGGCCCCCTTTGTTACTTTATAAGATGTCCATTTTTGGCCGACCGACTCTAAAATTTTTCTAAAGACGCCTTGGGCGCCAATATATACCATTTTTTGAGGGAGAGCGCGAGCCAAAAAAACGCGATTTTTTCGTCAAAATTTTCCAGAAAGTGCCCTAAAACGGCTTTTTTGACCTGTTTTTTCAAAAAATTGCCTACGGCGCAGAAAATTTGGCCAAAAAAGTCTTTTTAGTGCTTTAGGAGAGCTCGAAAACTCAGTTTGGTCGACGTAAAAAAAAGGTCGTCAAAGTTTTCGAAATATTTTTGAAAATCCGCCCCCTCCCCCTGGAGAAAATCCTAGATCCGCCCATGATCACTCCAGTGCGATGTCGGAAAACGTTTAAAGTCCTAATAACAGATTCTAATTCTGCTCCAAACCAAACGCAATCAAACGTTCAACTCTAATAGTTCCAAGTCCTGATTTTCCTCCAAACCAACTCTTTCAGGCATTAAGATCTCAAACAGCGGTTAGTGGAAATCGCGTAATGTTTGAGTGTTTTCTTTCTCAATTGCGGATTTCAGTTTCAAAATGCGAATTTGGCCACCAAGCAGTCCACTGCACACATGAACAAATGTTTGCGTATGGGTTCTACTCACCATCTCCACTCGCATATTATGGTTTCTGTGTAGCAGTTTTCTTATACAAAATTTCAGCCATCTTTCTGTGGATTCCACAATTGCAAAAAATCCAAGAAAATAGCCAAACTCCGCGACAATGTTCTTATCAGCCTAATGCGGAATCCGCTCCAAAAAAACCAACAAGACGTATCAGGGTTGAATGTTCCGACTGCGTAATAACATTTTTTTATGAAAATCATCCCCCCACACGCCATATAAAGTTCAAAAGGATAGATTACATTACTTATAACAAATCAATTAAGGCAAATAAGCTTCTTTCAACCAATTTGGAACGATTTCTAAGACGGATTAAATATCCGCTTACGCGTTATTAGCGCGAATACATCGCGCCTTAATTGTCCCAAATTGGCCAAAATGGCAATCTTCAAACCCCCGTAACCTTACGAAAAATAATCACAGGTAAAATATCTTTTCAAATTTGAGCTCAGGACAATACTTTTTGAATGATTTTAAGAAATTTTGTCAAAAATGGCTAGTTAAAAAGTCGAAATTTGTCTGAAGAAAAAAAATTCACTTCGAGCACAAATAGTCCGTCACTTTCGTATCGAAAGTCGGCACAAAAATGGTCTTCTAATAAATGCGTTAAACAAATCTATTTGAGTTGTTGCTGATAGTGAAAAGTATGGCTGCTCATGTTGTTTTAAATGAGTGAGTATTTCAAACACAAATCAGTAGCGCCCCCTCCCCCTTAGGGATTCGACCCCCTGCCGACCCAGAGGGACCCCTTTTTGTAGTAATTTGAGATATCTCTTTTTGGTGACGGACTTAAAAAGTTTTCTGAAGGCGCCTTCGGTGCCAATATATACTAATTTTGAAGGGAGGAGCGCGCGCCAAAAAAAACGCTATTTTTTTGGTCAAAATTTTCCAAAAAGTGCCTAAAAACGCCAATTTTTCAAAAACTTTGTCTGCGGCGCAAAAAATTTAATCAAATTAGGGTCTTTATAGGGATCTGGAAGACCTCAGAAAATCAATTTGATCGACCTACAAAAAAAGTCGACAAAAATTTAAATTTTTTTGGAAAAACGCCCCCCCCCCCCCCGCCCCCCTAGAGAAATTCCTAGATCCAAGCCTGACTAAAATGCAGAAAATGTTCCATGACCGCGTGTGTTTTCAAGCTGCAACGGTGCAAAAGCGTCGCACCCAGTCGAGTGATAAATCCATCATATTGAAGCTCCGTTGTCGAAAAAATCTGAATGCTCAGATGCTTCATTTGCACACTTTTCTCTTCGTCCGTTATCACTTTTATCCCACTATTATGGTTATCTGACAGTTTTAGCGAGAAAGACTACATGTTTAAATGTTTTCCCAATGTTCAAAATTAACCCTGTTGCTCCTCTTTTGATGTGGAAAACTCTTGATATTCTGTTGTAGCTTAGTTAGTTTTTCGTACCAAGAATCATTTATGCTCAAAAATGAAGTGAACCAAAGCGTATAAAATTTTAGGTTTGAGTTGAGTTGGATTTCAATTTGCGCTTTATGTGTCTCTCTGTAAAAGTGTAATAATCGCTGGGGGAGGGGCTTACACCTGAAAAAAAGTATGTTCAGGTTAATTCACTATGTTCAGTGGGGTGGGGGGAGGGGGAGGGGATGGGGATGAAAGCATTTCTGCAATTCTATTCGGCAACAGCAAGATAAAATTGTTCTCTTTCGATTAGCTGTATCCTGCTCTAACTTAATTGGCTGTTCCTTTTTACCTTCTCTCTCTCTTTCTCTCTTTCTCCCAATTGCAACCAAATTCATCGGTGAAATAAAAAGTGCAAAAAGGCAAGACACATTTAGACACACATTTCACATTTGGGCTTCTCAATTATTGGCACACTTCGTATTGGCCATCTGAAAGAGAGCAACGGACTGCCGTCAATTGTCTAAACTGTTGAGAGTTAATCGCTGCACCAAATTACCTTCAAGCGTCACTCCCACTTAACAGTCGTCGCATCACTTTGACCCTTTGCCAGTTAGTTATTCCACTGAGAGTACCCTGCCACTAACTAACTAAGGAACTAACCGGCACTACCCCTTACAGACCAGACCACCCACTCCTGACATCCACACATCCAGAGTGAGCTTACAGCCAGCCCCCCTCATTATCCCACCTGTTTGGGTTATTTGTTAGTCGAATTGATTTGCAGTTACATTATTTCAACCCCTTCCTCTTGCCTCTCAATTTTTGGAGACATTCTACTGGCATCATTGGCGACTGAGAAGTCGTTTTCCTCATTCACAACTCATCCATTCTGTGATCGCCTTTATCGCCCCAACTGCAGAGGTTGACTGAGTAAAAGTACCTTATTAGTAAATAATCTAGTGGCGAAACTGGTTAGTGAAACTGGTTAGTGATCGAGTGAGTGGTGATATAGTGAGAGACTGCAGTGAGAGTGATGGCCATCTACCTGGAGAAGGTGATTGAGGCGCTGAGCAATGGGACGAGGAACTTCACCCGCCACACCTTCCTCATCTCCGCCCTCACCCTCATCTGTCTCACTGTGCTGCAGGGGTGGATAGTGGCTCTGCCCTGGGAGACTGACAACGGCTCCCTCATCGGAGTCAGTGTCGGACTGTCAGAGGTCGGATGTCTCATAGGTACACTACACTACACTACACTCAATACAACACACCACACACTCATTGCCACTCAATACTACTTCACAATAACACTACAATACAACACACCACACACTCATTGCCACTCATTACTACTTCACAATAACACTACAATACAACACACCACACACTCATTCCCACTCATTACTACTTCACAATAACACTACAATGCAACACACCACACACTCATTGCCACTCATTACTACTTAACAATAACACTACAATACAACACACCACACACTCATTGCCACTCATTACTACTTCACAATAACACTACAATACAACACACCACACACTCATTGCCACTCATTACTACTTCACAATAACACTACAATACAACACACCACACACTCATTGCCACTCATTACTACTTCACAATAACACTACAATACAACACACCACACACTCATTGCCACTCATTACTACTTTACAATAACACTACAATACAACATACCACACACTCATTGCCACTCATTACTACTTGACAATAACACTACAATACAACACACCACACACTCATTGCCACTCATTACTACTTCACAATAACACTACAATACAACACACCACACACTCATTGCCACTCATTACTACTTCACAATAACACTACAATACAACACACCACACACTCATTGCCACTCATTACTACTTCACAATAACACTACAATACAACACACCACACACTCATTGCCACTCATTACTACTTCACAATAACACTACAATACAACACACCACACACTCATTGCCACTCATTACTACTTCACAATAACACTACAATACAACACACCACACACTCATTGCCACTCATTACTACTTCACAATAACACTACAATACAACACACCACACACTCATTGCCACTCATTACTACTTCACAATAACACTACAATACAACACACCACACACTCATTGCCACTCATTACTACTTCACAATAACACTACAATACAACACACCACACACTCATTGTCACTCATTACTACTTTACAATAACACTACAATACAACACACCACACACTCATTGCCACTCATTACTACTTGACAATAACACTACAATACAACACACCACACACTCATTGCCACTCATTACTACTTCACAATAACACTACAATACAACACACCACACACTCATTGCCACTCATTACTACTTCACAATAACACTACAATACAATACACCACACACTCATTGCCACTCATTACTACTTCACAATAACACTACAATACAACACACCACACACCCATTGCCACTCATTACTACTTCACAATAACACTACAATACAACACACCACACACTCATTGCCACTCATTACTACTTCACAATAACACTACAATACAACACACCACACACTCATTGCCACTCATTACTACTTCACAATAACACTACAATACAACACACCACACACTCATTGCGACTCATTACTACTTCACAATAACACTACAATACAACACACCACACACTCATTGCCACTCATTACTACTTCACAATAACACTACAATACAACACACCACACACTCATTGCCACTCATTACTACTTCACAATAACACTACAATACAACACACCACACACTCATTGCCACTCATTACTACTTCACAATAACACTACAATACAACACACCACACACTCATTTCCACTCATTACTACTTCACAATAACACTACAATACAACACACCACACACTCATTGCCACTCATTACTACTTCACAATAACACTACAATACAACACACCACACACTCATTGCCACTCATTACTACTTCACAATAACACTACAATACAACACACCACACACTCATTGCCACTCATTACCACTTCACAATAACACTACAATACAACACACCACACACTCATTGCCACTCATTACTACTTCACAATAACACTACAATACAACACACCACACACTCATTGCCACTCATTACTACTTCACAATAACACTACAATACAACACACCACACACTCATTGCCACTCATTACTACTTCACAATAACACTACAATACAACACACCACACACTCATTGCGACTCATTACTACTTCACAATAACACTACAATACAACACACCACACACTCATTGCCACTCATTACTACTTCACAATAACACTACAATACAACACACCACACACTCATTGCCACTCATTACTACTTCACAATAACACTACAATACAACACACCACACACTCATTGCCACTCATTACTACTTCACAATAACACTACAATACAACACACCACACACTCATTTCCACTCATTACTACTTCACAATAACACTACAATACAACACACCACACACTCATTGCCACTCATTACTACTTCACAATAACACTACAATACAACACACCACACACTCATTGCCACTCATTACTACTTCACAATAACACTACAATACAACACACCACACACTCATTGCCACTCATTACTACTTCACAATAACACTACAATACAACACACCACACACTCATTGTCACTCATTACTACTTTACAATAACACTACAATACAACACACCACACACTCATTGCCACTCATTACTACTTGACAATAACACTACAATACAACACACCACACACTCATTGCCACTCATTACTACTTCACAATAACACTACAATACAACACACCACACACTCATTGCCACTCATTACTACTTCACAATAACACTACAATACAATACACCACACACTCATTGCCACTCATTACTACTTCACAATAACACTGCAATACAACACACCACACACCCATTGCCACTCATTACTACTTCACAATAACACTACAATACAACACACCACACACTCATTGCCACTCATTACTACTTCACAATAACACTACAATACAACACACCACACACTCATTGCCACTCATTACTACTTCACAATAACACTACAATACAACACACCACACACTCATTGCGACTCATTACTACTTCACAATAACACTACAATACAACACACCACACACTCATTGCCACTCATTACTACTTCACAATAACACTACAATACAACACACCACACACTCATTGCCACTCATTACTACTTCACAATAACACTACAATACAACACACCACACACTCATTGCCACTCATTACTACTTCACAATAACACTACAATACAACACACCACACACTCATTTCCACTCATTACTACTTCACAATAACACTACAATACAACACACCACACACTCATTGCCACTCATTACTACTTCACAATAACACTACAATACAACACACCACACACTCATTGCCACTCATTACTACTTCACAATAACACTACAATACAACACACCACACACTCATTGCCACTCATTACCACTTCACAATAACACTACAATACAACACACCACACACTCATTGCCACTCATTACTACTTCACAATAACACTACAATACAACACACCACACACTCATTGCCACTCATTACTACTTCACAATAACACTACAATACAACACACCACACACTCATTGCCACTCATTACTACTTCACAATAACACTACAATACAACACACCACACACTCATTGCGACTCATTACTACTTCACAATAACACTACAATACAACACACCACACACTCATTGCCACTCATTACTACTTCACAATAACACTACAATACAACACACCACACACTCATTGCCACTCATTACTACTTCACAATAACACTACAATACAACACACCACACACTCATTGCCACTCATTACTACTTCACAATAACACTACAATACAACACACCACACACTCATTTCCACTCATTACTACTTCACAATAACACTACAATACAACACACCACACACTCATTGCCACTCATTACTACTTCACAATAACACTACAATACAACACACCACACACTCATTGCCACTCATTACTACTTCACAATAACACTACAATACAACACACCACACACTCATTGCCACTCATTACTACTTCACAATAACACTACAATACAACACACCACACACTCATTGCCACTCATTACTACTTCACAATAACACTACAATACAACACACCACACACTCATTGCCACTCATTACTACTTTACAATAACACTACAATACAACACACCACACACTCATTGCCACTCATTACTACTTGACAATAACACTACAATACAACACACCACACACTCATTGCCACTCATTACTACTTCACAATAACACTACAATACAACACACCACACACTCATTTCCACTCATTACTACTTCACAATAACACTACAATACAACACACCACACACTCATTGCCACTCATTACTACTTCACAATAACACTACAATACAACACACCACACACTCATTGCCACTCATTACTACTTCACAATAACACTACAATACAACACACCACACACTCATTGCCACTCATTACTACTTCACAATAACACTACAATACAACACACCACACACTCATTGCCACTCATTACTACTTCACAATAACACTACAATACAACACACCACACACTCATTGCCACTCATTACTACTTTACAATAACACTACAATACAACACACCACACACTCATTGCCACTCATTACTACTTGACAATAACACTACAATACAACACACCACACACTCATTGCCACTCATTACTACTTCACAATAACACTACAATACAACACACCACACACTCATTGCCACTCATTACTACTTCACAATAACACTACAATACAACACACCACACACTCATTGCCACTCATTACTACTTCACAATAACACTACAATACAATACACCACACACTCATTGCCACTTTTTTTGTTTTTGAATGACACAATAGTGCTTGTTTGTTCCATGTTACTTGATTGTTTTTTTCTACGCGTAGAACTTTCTTTTTCTTCGTACGAGACTTTAAGTCTAAGTTCTTCTGTCTAACTTCCTACAAGGTGTGAGGGGAGCTGTGGGGAAGGGCTAAGTGTATGCCTGTCATTTCAAAGGTCATTGATTAAAGGCCCACCCGCACTCACAAAATAGATCTAGATCGGTTTTAGCATGAACAAGGTAAAAGGAAAAAGGTTGAGATCGA